ATATATATATATATATATATAATACCAGATAAGGGTATGAGTACCAGGTCAAATATAAGAAAGGACCGAGGAGTCCTCGATATGACTATACACCGAGGAGTCCTCGGCTCATTACAATAACCTACTTAACTTGTTTATTACGGATAAGCACTAATGGATTCTCTTATGGGCCTACATATGAGTCTAAGCCCATTAAGGTTAGTATAAATAAGTGTGATTAGTGACAAACAAAAGTACATTTTCATAATTACCAGTTTGATTAGCATTGATATCTCTGAGACCGAGGACTGACTTAAGCATTGGAGTGCCTTTTGCAGGTACCCCTCTCTTCCCCTAGGATACATCATGGAAGACGAAGACTCAACTGGAGTAGCAAAATTACTGGAATACCCTCGTGCAGGTATATTTTGGCGTCCACCGTGGGGCCCGTTTTGAAGGCCCACACTGTTTATTTCTTTTGCAGGAAGAAGATTTTGTAGAAGATGGTCACTACCAGGAACAACAACCACTCGGTTCAACCCGAACAGGACTTGGGGCCGGTTGCTGTGGAAGATCAAACTGATCTCTCAGATGTTGTGAATATGCTTCGTGAAGAAATAACAGTTATCAAGCAAGCCCGAGAAAGCTCAGGAGCTTGAAGCACTCAGGAGAGAAAATGCCGAGTTGAGAAGGTTGAACAGAACTTGGAACCCTACTAAACAACCCAACAATGAGGTCTCCTCATATCACGTACCAACAACTCCAAAAACACATGTTCCTCCCATGCAATTATCAACCATTCCTAGGCAACCTCCCTCTCGGATAATGGCAACACCCAGCTCATACAAGCACCCTTTCACTCAAAACATTATGGAGACAACCATATCTGATAGCTGGAGAAATCTTCCTCTAGAGAAGTATGATGGATCCTCGGATCCCGATGACCACTTGAATGCATATCTCACACAGGTTACCTTGCTGACAACAGAAGACGCTGCTTTGTGTCACCTCTTCCCCACTTCACTAAAAGGACGAGCATTGAGTTGGTTCATTAAGCTTTCCCCCAGCTCCATAAATTCATTTGAAGAACTAATATCTTTATTTACAGTACAATTTGCTACAAACAGACCTTACCAACTGACATCATTGGCGTTGGCCAACATCAGACAGGAAAAGAAGGAATCCTTAAATTCATTTATGGATCATTTTAACAAAATCGCAATGGAGATAAAAAAAAAACATGAACCTAGCTGTCGCAATGGATAGGTTGAACACAACGTTGAAACCTGGACCTTTTATAAATAGTTTATGCAAAAAACCTCCGCTGGATATGAATAACTTGAGAAGAAGGGTTGAAAAATACATGCAAATGGAGGAATTAACTGAATCAAGAAATCAAGCTAGAGCCGAGGCTATGCCAATTGGGAAGCAAGGAAGAATCTAAGGGAAGGAAAGCTCTTGGCCAATTGAGATGGACCATACAGAATTAATCAAAACATGCGAAATGGAGCATACAAGCTAGATGAATTAAATGGAAAGTTAATGCCAAGAACATGGAATACAACACATTTGAAAATGTATTACAGTTGAAAAATATTGTAATTCGGTGTACTCTTTTCCTTACTTAGCTTTTTATCCCTAAAAGAACGTGAAAGGGTTTTTGCTAAGCAATGTTTTTAACGAGACACCCTAGTGAATAATAATACAAGAAATATTTTCAGGTTTAACAAGTGCCTAGACTCAGAGTGCATAGACTCAGGACCTTGGCCGAGGACAAACTCGGTCGAGCGTGAAAAACAACTCAAGACCTCAGCCGAGGACACACTTGGTCGAGCGTGAAAAACAGGAGTAGCAAAATTACCGGAGTACCCTCGTGCAGGTATATATATATATATTTCTTTTTCTTTTTCTAATATATAAATTATCTAATATGAAAAAAGATCAAAGGAACCCTAAATTATTTAGTAGATACAGCGTCAAATTTTATAAAATAATTGTTTTAATTTGAAAAATAGGTTTCTATATCTTAAAGGATATAAGTATTGAAACTAATATGTTATATTGATGAAGCTTTGAGCATGATCAAAGATTTTATGTCAAAGAAAAAATATTTTAACTTTTTGTCTTATATGAAAAGTTGCTGAATACATTTTGAAATCTCTTCAAAAAAAATCATTTGGGTACTTTTAATTCTAAGTGATAAATCAATAAAAATATAAAATTTACATATTTGAACACTTTTAAAAATTTTATTTGATTTAACCAATAAAGTTTACATTTAGCTTTTTATGTTTATTTTTTCAGAATAGTATTAAAATGTATTTACATAATTATATAAATTTATTCAACTTTTTCTATTATTTAGGAAAATATTTGTTTTTAATATTATTTTGAAGAAAAAAAATAGTTTTGCATGCGGGCCTAAATTAAAAAGAAAAAAGTGGTGAAACAATATTCACAGATATGTAAGAGTCAATGGGTGTGATGAAAAGAAATAATATAAAAGGGATGAAGGTTTTTTATTTTTTATTTTTTATTTTTTAAAGGTGGTGGTATAAAATGGGTGCAGGTGTAATCGAATAAACATTTTTATTATTTAAAAATTGCACAATCAAGCTGTCTGTGAAGTTCTTTCAAAGAATTAAATAAAGGGTTTTACAAATAAAAACTATATTGAAGAAACATTTAGCTTTTCATGACAGCGTAAAAAAGAAAATGGAACAAAACAATGCGGGAGAAGTAGAAGATGCGTGAGATGAAAATAATATACAACGGGTAAAGGTGTAATCAAATTGTAACCATAAAAGGTGTAATAAAATATTTTATCATTTAAAAATTACACTATCAAGCTGCCTATGAAGATTTACTTATCATCAATTGAAAATTAGAATAAAATATTAGAATATTGAGCTTTC